CCGGAGACGCTGAAAGGTAGCGTTGAAATGGACCTCTGTACCGGAGCTGACCTATCTTCTACAAAGGTAACGAGTCGTCACGCACCGAGTGTACCGGGGCTGAGCTGGGCTCAGATGAAGGGTGCCATTCCTGGTCAACACACTTTCCCTCATCCATCTTTTCTCTCCATTTAAACTCCTTCATTTCCCATCTTTAAACGCTTCTATTTTGCCAATAGTCTAGATGCCTTCTTCAATGTTTTGTTGTCTTATTAAGTAAAACGTGCCAAGTTTTATTAATCAGAACCAGATCAGCTAATCAAGTGTACAATGTTTTGATGTTAAATTTTGATTCTGTTCAATAAATGACCACTTTTATTCTGATGAGTCAAAGTAAATTAACGTCTCATGTCACTGATTAAACAATCCACGCACAGTTACCTCAGTCACATGGCAGTAATTTAAATCAAAAAAGAGAGAACTAGTTTATTTAAATATATTGTAGAGGAGGTGCAGCTAACCTAGACCTTAGCACACTACACAACAGATTTCCTGCCACTAACTAACATTTTCCTTTGACAAAGCTGGGAGCCTTGAGCACTCAACCCCCTACCCCTCTTTGGGGCGGGCATTTGTGACATAGAGTGAATGCCCTTAGTTATCTACATGTACAACGACTCTTGCTCAGGGTTTCAAATTCCCTACCATAACTCCACCCACTCTGTCATCATGTGACCAGAAGTCTAACCTGAATGACTAATGAGGAACTCTCGAGGACCATCCTCCAAGATAGATGTGCATTAATTTCTTCAGATTGGTCCCGTGTCATTACTGTATTTTGCATTTTATGCACAGACCTGTTCATTTGTTCAACGATAATGGAAAACGCACAGACAGTTTCTTATGATGCAGCTTTCACGTTAAAAGTGATCTGGCTGTCGAAGAAGGAAACACAGCTGCCGCCTGTAAGCTTTGCATCAACGTGTCGATGGTCAGACATTGGAGATGCAAAGCATATACATGTTTTAATAAAGGTTTTAAAATTATTTTTGTGTGACATCTTTCTGTGTACGGTAAATATGCGTTTAAATACCGGGATCTCATTTTAAGCTCACATCTGAATGGAGACAACAGCAGGGGTTCTTCCCCCTCCCCTTCCGTCAAGAAAGCTCAGCGGAGAAGGTGTCAGATTTATTTTTAAAGAAGATAGTCAGTCAAGACTGATATATTTTTAAATAAAAGTTAAGACAAAAATTTCTGTGTACGGTAAATATGTGTTTAAATAACAATATCTCATTTAAGCTTAAATTGGCGTATGAAACGGAGTGAAGGAGACAACGGGAGGGAGGAGGAGCTGTTCCCCCTTCCTCCAGCTCATTTGAGCTCTTTGCTGAGTAGAAGTCATCTAATTTATTTAGAAAGTACATTTAAAAACAGCAGCTGTTACCAAAAGTGTTTAACAATAAAAATCAATGGTACTAATTTAATGAATATTTACTGTATTTAATAATAATGTATGTATTGTCATCATTGTATGTTCCCATACAATGGTGAAATTGGCTCTCTGCATTTAACCCATCCACCACCCGGTGGAGCAGTGAGCAGCTAATGAAAGCGCCCAGTGAGCAAATAGGGATGAGGTGTACTGCTCAGAGACACCATGAGATGTGCAATGGCTGAGGATTGAACCCGGAACCTTCAGGCCCCGAGTCAGCTGCCCTGTCTCTACACCATTGTCAAAGAGATTTATTTGTCATATGTGTCACACGTGATATATGAGGTGGGACAAAACTATGTAAATAGGGTCCCAGTTACATCCAACAAAGACACAAATTGTAAAGAAAAGCATTAGTAAGATCCAAGTCATGAACTAAGAATGTACTACATTCTCTAAACTAAGGAAACACAAGATTAAGAATACGCTAAGCACCAACAGCACAAAAACAATGCGCCAAAACAACAGCAGCACAAACATCTCAAACATCAGGTCATTGGTCCTAATCCACGTGAGCAGATGAGGACCAATGAACAAAGCAGCACAAAATAATCAGCAGCATGAGATCAGCATCATGGATAGTCAGCAGCACATATGACCAACCAAGTGGTTTACAATGATTTTTCAGTTTTTTTCACAGTGATTTTTCACAGTGATTTTTCCTGGTTAGAGATTCATGAGTCTCAGAGTAGAGGCTGTTCCTCAGTCTAGTGGTTCTGTGCTTGGTGCTCCACGGTCTTCTGCCTGGGGGGAGCGGGGCAGGGAGTGTGTGTGCTGGGTGTGTGGGGTCCTTCATGATTCAGGTGGCCCTCTTCCTGCATCTGGAGGTGTAGATGTCTGTGATGGCTGGGAGGCTGACTCCTTCTGGTACTATTTGACTTCCTATCACATGACCTTGATAAGACTTCTGGGCAATATTTACTGGTATACAATTTGGAAATAATTTTGATTACGTAGGTGTTTGGCACTGTTCTGTCTAGTTAAGATGCTTAAATAGTTTGTGTTCATTTTGTAGGTTTAATGAATTTAACCACGAGTCAGACAGTGAAACATCATGAAGACTTCTGACGATCATGCAGTTTGAATGCGTGTTGAAAGCAAGCTATAGTCTATGAAACAGCATCTGGTGGCTGATTTTTACTACAACAAGAAAGTTGCACACTGTCAGAGCAGACTGGGCACAGATGCTGATGATGAACGGTGGTTGCCCGTGGCTAAATAACCGGAGTGTCATCTTTATGTATAAAATTATGATTGATCTTATACTTAGATTGTGCAGCTTAGAGACAGGTTTGTTATGTAGCCTGAGACTAAGGTAGTAAGTAGTAGTGTATTTATATATATATATACAGGTCCTTCTCAAAAAATTAGCATATTGTGATAAAGGTCATTATTTTCCATAATGTAATGATAAAAATGAAACTTTCATATATTTCAGATTCATTGCACACCAACTGAAATATTTCAGGTCTTTAATTGTTTTAATACTGATGATTATGGCATACAGCTCATGAAAACCCAAAATGCCTGTCTCAAAAAATTAGCATATCATGAAAAGGTTCTCTAAACAAGCTATTAACCTAACCATCTGAATCAACGACGTAACTCTAAACACCTGCAAAAGATTCCTGAGGCTTTTAAAAACACCCAGCCTTGTTCATTACTTAAAACCGCAATCATGGGTAAGACTGCCGACCTGACTGCTGTCCAGAAGGCCATCATTGACACCCTCAAGCAAGAGGGTAAGACA